ACAATTAAACTTTAAGCACAGTGATTACTAAAATCTACAATGATTACTAACCAACATGCATGTTGTCAGAAGAAATGAATGAATTAAAGGCGTATAATAGGAGTGTACAATAGCAAATTAAGTAAAGCTAGATAAAAACAAGACCACCTAACATTGTTCACCCTGTTGCCCACCCACTTTAACAATGGTATATTCCAATTGGGTGGTTTATGTCCTGGGTGGTTTATGTCCTGGGTGGTTTATGTCCTACATTCTTTATTATAGAGAGCATACTTTTGTTGCTTAATATTGGCAGCCACTATTGTACAATAATATGGATACAATTTATCCCAAGGTTCTAATACTACCAATTTATTGCTTTTAATTTATCCCTAAATATATAGATATATTCTTTACACCAATTTTTCATGTAAATTACATCACTACAATAAATTATTTATCTATATCAACACCTTGTTTCGTGTTATAAAAATCAATATCATATAAGTGAAAATGAATGATATTGGGTACAGTTGCAAATTATGCTTCCATTTTCATACTGACATTAATAAAAATTAACATAATTAAGAATAATTATTTTCTGTATTTATATAGCACCTTTAACAATCAGTTGATGTGTGTCAAAGCGCTCGCAATGTTATCAACACTAGTCAACTTATTAGCTATCAGCGGCGTATCAAGGAGTCTTGAAATGGGGAGGGGTCTGCTGGGGAATGACTCAATGATTCAGTGATGGAGTGCTAAAGGTGATATGATGGATGTTTTAACTACTTGAATGAGATAATTTTTTTTTTTGCTTTAAACATTTCAAATGCAGTGTGAATATAACATTTTAAATACCATTGAAATCCATATTGAATGGAGCACACAGTTGTGTTGAATTCTGAACTGCACAACTTTATGTTTGAAAGCATGAAAAAAAAAACAATAAATTATAATTTATCATCACAAAATGATAGATATTTACATTATTTACTCATTAAAAAACAATTTTATAATTGATTTGATAACTTATCAGATCTGATATAAATAACAAATAACACACACCTTACAATACAATAAGACCCAAGAAACACATCGGACAGGTTACTTTAACCAAAAAGCCTAACATATGGTTTCTGAAGTGAAGCATATATTATATATATACACACATATGCACAGTACATCTGTATTCATGCTGTAACTGTTATCCTGACTGAACAGTTTTTTTTTTTTTTTTTTTACTTTTCCTTAATGTCCCTTTTGAAAATTTGAATTGTCTTTTTCTTAGCATAAGTCTTTTTTTGTGAACTTTACTGTATATATTGTTTTGGACGCACCTTCTATTGAGAAGTGTGCCACTGATTGAAAAGTGTAGTTCCTAATAAATTATTATTATTATTATTATTATTACTATTATTATTATTATTATTATTATCCCATAATATTTATTTATTCCATCACTTACACCACCAATTATATATAGATTTGAACAAAACCTTGCAATTTTTCAACTCTGACCCTTAATATGATATACTCTGTAATTATACTATTCTTTGCAATTTAAAACATTTTATTTTTCTTTCACATAAACTTCTGAAAAGTACATTATCATTAGGGAGAACATAATTATTTGAAACATACAACATACAATCTATTACTTATGTTTTTAAAAGTATTCCACTTTACAAAGTGCATTTTTTTCTCTTTCCTGGTCAATGGATACAGAATCTGTCATGCACAGAGTGTGCAACAATTTTGTTATCCTGAGGAATGGAGAATGAGGCTGTGTTTTTTTTGTCAATGTGATGGGGTAGCAGACAATTGAGTTTTTTTTTATTTTCCTTTAATTTTTACCTAATTCTTCACCTGTTAACCAAGGTTATAGACACCTGAACATGAAAGTTGTTTATCACCAAATATACAACAATTATTAAATGGCAACTCATCTTAAGCCTCTTCTTTATCATCTAACAGAGGTTCAAAGGAGAAAGGTCGGAATGGATGACCCTCACCTTTGTAAAACTTGCTCTGGAACTCCACCCTGGATGAGAAGAAGACATAATGGAATAATGGTCAGACATCAGCAAACTAATAACCATAATAAAAATGTAACTCAATTATTAAGAAAAAAATAATATTTGTATTCATTTCAGAATTTTAAATAAATATGCATAAATAACCAAATAAATAATAAAGTGCAACTTAAACTCCATTATACAATACAGGAAATAAATACACTCTGCCTACACCTAGGAATTATTTCATTCAAGAACCGTAAGTTGGCAATAAAAAAGGAAAATGATAATATTCAAAACTAAATTTAAACTATCCACCACAGGGTAGGATCGTTTAAATGCTTGGTAATAAAAAAAGTAAACAAAATAACAATAAATCATAATTACAAAATAAAGCAAGAATAATTATACATCAATTATTAATAATATCAATTAAATACTGTAAGTCAGGGGTGCTGCAACCTACAACGATAATATTGGAACTGGTTTGAGCAATTTACCAGGTAGCTCGAGGGGAGAAGGAAGTTACTGTAGGAGCTAGTGCATTCATCAAGCCCATTGAGATTCCTGTATAATGCGCTATATAAATCTAACTACATAACATTAAGCTCTGTGCTCACTATCACTGTTGTATGCCCATATATAGTCATGATGTGCCTATATATGGTCATGATGTGCCTATGGTCATGATGTGCCTATATATGGTCATGATGTGCCTATATATGGTCATGATGTGCCTATATATGGTCATGATGTGCCTATATATGGTCATGATGTGCCTATATATAGTCATGATGTGCCTATATATGGTCATGATGTGCCTATATATGGTCATGATGTGCCTATATATGGTCATGATGTGCCTATATATGGTCATGATCATATATATCATGACCATATTTTAGACATCATGACCATATTTAGACATGTCATATGATAGGGCTTTACCGATTTATAATGGTATTTAATGTTCTATCCAAAATATTTATAAGCAATCAAGTTTGCGAAGTAAACTTAAATGCAGCAAAGAGAGTCTAAAATAACTGTTATACATGTGTTGAAGCAATGACTAAATTAAAATGACTATAGAAACATGTTAACGTACCAGTGAAGACGTAGGGTGTGCAAGAATGCAGACAAGCCTTCCATGAAGATGAGGATGGCAACAGTAAGAACTGCCCAGAATGCAAACAGCAAGTAGATAGCTATACAGCCTATCCAACCCTCCATTGAAAGACCTAATCTCAACACCATTGTCCACAGTACCTCAGACAATTCTGTGAATAAAATGTTATATTCAAGATTCAAGATTTCTTTATTGTCCAAAAAAAAAAGATTTCAGGCAGGAACATTTTCATTTTAATAAATACAAACATGCTTAGTAAAAAGAGACGTTAAAATTTTAAATAATAAAATAGTACACACATAAATACTCAAGACAACAGCTAATATTAATAAGTAAATGTAAAACATGAGTAGCAGAAAATGAAACCAAATTGAGTTAATAACTGAGATTCATTGCACATCTTAGAGTAGGTGGATATAAATAGTAAATATTCAAATATATTAATAAAATAAAAAATAATAATTATGTTAGGTACAGCCTACAGGCTGTGGTAAAATATGAAAACAAAGCACAATAAGCTCATTTAAAAGTATCAAATAATGTATTTTAAAATTCTAACAATACAAAGATAAAAAAAAAAATGATTGACAGATTTTTTGCAGTGGAAATTCCTAAATTGATTACCAGCCAACTTAAGGGTCTAGGCCCTGGTTTTACAAAAGTGGAATCTTGAGCTACGCCAACATAAACTGAAGTCGTATGTGAATTTTATGGGTTGTATATATACATAAACTTTAAAATAGGCATATCTCTGTGGCTATATGAAAAGCACACAGTAGTGTGTGCTGTGCTGTAACAGCTGCCTGGTACATTGGATATGGTTGTGTGTTGTGTATTATATTTCAAGCTACATTATATGTTACAATGACAAGCAAAACCAGTCACTCGTCGCAAAAATCAATTTTTAGTTATTAATACAGTGTTAAACAGTAAAATGAGAGCTATAAAATGGTAAAAGAATCATTTAAATCCGACACTTTGTTATGAAGTTACATGAGTTTAAACATACAGCTGTTTAAAGAACAATATTTGAGAAATCAGCCTTCAAAGTTTACGATTTCAGGCATTTCTTAGGCAGAAACCATCACCAAATTGTTAAAAATTGTTGTTTTAACATTGAAAATGAGGAAAATAACAGCATAGCATGATGTATAGATATATAAAGGTTAGTTAAGTGCAATAAAATAGATTTCCAAAATTTTGAAATTCCAGCATGTTTTGGCGATTATCTCCAAAACAGGATTTGCGACGAGTGACTGGTTTGGCTTGTCTTTGCCACATATGTAGGTCCTATATTATTACTGTTGGCTATACAGCAATTACTTCACTTTGAAAAAATTTAAAATGTACACATTTTTTTTATATTATTAATAAACTGTTAATTAAATATTTAGTCCTGCTAGAAATGCTACATCCATTACAATACATCACACTATGTAATTCTAAAGTGAAGGGAGCCCTCTAACAGGCCACTTAAAATCCACAATTGTTTATCAAGCTTCACGCTTATTTTATTTCGAGGGATTTTGCACCTCTTTAATTATTGTTTTCAGATTTATAAGTCAACATAATAACTGATTGATTTACTGAATAAATGTTCAAAATACATATTCAATAAGTATCTATGGAAGTTTTGTTATTTATTATGCCTTATGTAGTAGGTAGGCATTTCTACTAAAGGTAAGGGGCAGAATGAGCTACTGTAGTGTTTGAGAGATTACCCCTCTAGATGGCATCTTCTATCGTGAAGCTCTTTTATTTTCCTATGTCAGTAGTAGTACATATTTTGTTTAAAAAAATTACACCACAGAAGGCACAGTGTAAAAGGAATAAACTCTAGTAAAGAATTATTTTTTAAATTATTTTTAATGACTCCAATGCAAACACTTTTAACCTGACACTAAAGCCTATATTTTAATCTAAAGTACTTTATTAATGGTTCGCATAAGTATTGTTTCAGCCTTCATTGTCGCCTGACTGTTATTCCCCAGTATTATTTAATTAAAATGGAATGCATACTATTGAAGTATAATAACATTTACTCGCTTCATGAATTACAACACAATTTAGAAGCTGAGAGCCTTGGGTGTTAAGGAAGTAGTGAATGATATCATTAGGCCTACAACTTACCAGCATGAGCAAGGCTGAGAGCCCATAGACGCAGGTAGGAAGCAGTGTGCGAGATACAACCTAGGCAGTATTCAATGGTGTGAATTCCTTGGTAGATCAATGCCTCACCAAATTGAAACTGAAAACAAATATTCAAACAATATGAGTTTGGTTTAGTTACCTACAAAAGTCAATCCATAGGTTTGACAATATTAAGGTTTTTTGGTTTGAGAAAGGTGGCCACTGGAGCAACAGACAGAAAGGCAAACTAAAGTAACTCATAAAACAAATCTGCAGTTTTAATTTCCAAAATTTTGAAATTCCAGCATGTTTTGGCGATTATCTCCAAAACAGGATTTGCGACGAGTGACTGGTTTGGCTTGTCTTTGCCACATATGTAGGTCCTATATTATTACTGTTGGCTATACAGCAATTACTTCACTTTGAAAAAATTTACAATGTACACATTTTTTTTATATTATTAATAAACTGTTAATTAAATATTTAGTCCTGCTCGAAATGCTACATCCATTAGAATACATCACACTATGTAATTCTAAAGTGAAGGGAGCCCTCTAACAGGCCACTTAAAATCCACAATTGTTTATCAAGCTTCACGCTTATTTTATTTCTAAGGATTTTGCACCTCTTTAATTATTGTTTTCAGATTTATAAGTCAACATAATAACTGATTGATTTACTGAATAAATGTTCAAAATACATATTCAATAAGTACAGTATCTATGGAAGTTTTGTTATTTATTATGCCTTATGTAGTAGGTAGGCATTTCTACTAAAGGTAAGGGGCAGAATGAGCTACTGTAGTGTTTGAGAGATTACCACTCCAGATGGCATCTTCTATCGTGAAGCTCTTTTATTTTCCTATGTCATTAGTAGTACATATTTTGTTTAAAAAAATTACACCACAGAAGGCTATTCTTTTACTGCACAGTGTAAAAGGAATAAACTCTAGTAAAGAATTATTTTTTTAATTATTTTTAATGACTCCAATGCAAACACTTTTAACCTGACACTAAAGCCTATATTTTAATCTAAAGTACTTTTTTTTAATAAATAAAAACAATTTTTTTAAATTAATGGTTCGCATAAGTATTGTTTCAGCCTTCATTGTCGCCTGACTGTTATTCCACAGTATTATTTAATTAAAATGGAATGCATACTATTGAAGTGTAATAACATTTACTCGCTTCATGAATTACAACACAATTTAGAAGCTGAGAGCCTTGGGTGTTATGGAAGTAGTGAATGATATCATTAGGCCTACAACTTACCAGCATGAGCAAGGCTGAGAGCCCATAGACGCAGGTAAGAAGCAGTGTGGGAGATGCAGCCTAGACAGTATTCAATGGTGTGAATTCCAGAATAGATCAAAGTTTCTCCAAATTCAAACTGAAAAACAGAAAATAGTATTCATTTTCAAAATAGTTCAGTACAACACAAAATCATGCTGATAGTATATGAATGAGGCACAGGAATATTGTTTGTAACCAATGGCAGGACAAAGAGGATACTTATATGCACAGAACAAAAATGTGGGCTCACATTTATTCAAATTAGGGAGAATAGCAATTTGAGTGTATGTCTTCTACAGCATGATTATCCAGACAGTATTATTGTAACAGTATAATTCTATGATGAGCACTTTGTATATTATGTACCAATTATGTCATTAAGCAACATAACCATTAATTCAACCGAACATTGGCGTCTACAATATGTTCGCTTTTAACAATCCTTGGAATCTGTATCTTTTCTTTCAAACATTTTGTTTTGCTCCATGTCACATGTTCCATGTTCTTTTTTTTTTTTGTTTTTTATATTGGTGTTTCAACTTTGTTTCATGTAATTTGTTTTATGTTATTTGTTAGATCCATGATATTTGTTTCATGTTTTTTTCACCATTCTGTTTGAAGTTTGTTTTGTATTTTTGTCAAAGGGCCAACCGAGACACGCTTCTCGGTTGGTCCTCATCTATGCCTTGTTGTATGAGTATATTTGGCCATGGTGAAATAAATGTTTGATGACTGGATTTGATTTGATTGTTTCATTTTGTTTCATGTAGTTTTCTTCATGGTTATGTTTCATGTTATTTGCTTTATCTTGTTTAATCCACTTTATTTGTTTTTATTTTTTATGTTGTTTGTTCCATGTCCTAAGCTGTCTGTTCTATGTTCTTGCTACCATTTTGTTTCAGGTTTTTTGTTTCATTCTATATGTCTCATGTTGTCTGTTTCATTTGTCTACCAAAACATACTGATTCTAAACATCCAAATGCATTGGGACCCATTTGGTACATATCCAGTCAAGATATAAAAAATACAATTACAAGATTATAAACATCATTTCAAGAATAATAAACTATATCCTACTTCCTCTTGTTGAGAATCTTCTGAGCTGGTTGACTCAGATTCATCTAGATCATCATGGTGAATTATCTCTGCAGTGTCATCTCCAAGTTGCTGTGATTTGGTCATCCGTGCTCCTTGGTATTTTTTCACCTAAGATAAGATGTAAATTACAAAGATAGTTAACACAGCAGATGAGTGTATTTACTAACAATTTTATTCAATGTTTAATAATAACTTCTGAAATACTGTACTTATAAATATAAAAAATATTAAAAAAAACTATTTAAATTTTATCTGCATATTGAATATATATTTAGTAGATATCAATATATAATGATACTCAAATAATCTTAATACTAAATAATAATGATAATAATAATAATAGCTTTCCTATTTTTGTTCGTGAGTCTCTTTTAGTTGAGATCTTTAAGGTCTTAAGACTCATCTTTTTAGTTTACTTTAATTTGAAAATTAAATCCCACATTATTATTACTATTATTATTATTATTAAATCCTATTAAAGTACATTTTTTGCAGAGAATTTTATACACTACAAGACTAAACTACCACTTAAGCTAACTAGGACAGTGGCATATTTAATTGAAAACACAAAACCCTTACGTTACTCATAGTGGCATCGCCAGCAGGAGTAAAAGGAAACGCCCTCCCCAACAAGCATGGACCCCCTTTAGTTGAATGCCATTTGAGGTAGTCAGATGAAAAAATATCAATATGCCAATCCAACTATACGTTAATGTAATATCAGTTCCTAATACAGATTGTGGTCTGTCATAAACTTTAAATTCGCTCTTTTTCACCCCAACCCCCACCCCCAATCCCACCCAGAGTTATACTCTAGGAACCTAACCGGTAACTTTATACAGCTGCTTGGTTTGGAACCTCTGTCAGATTTGTTGTACTCCTGTCAGAAAATTTCCAGAGTGTGCACAGGAACCAGGGGCGGATCCAGAAATATCCAAAAGGGGGGGGGGGG